TGTTCACGGCACAGAATTCTGCAATTTTTCTGTTATCACAGTGTAGAATTCTACGCAAAATTTGTTGGCCTAGATCTAGGCTATAACGGTGAACGTGCACCGGGTGAGAATAGCCAAAAGACTCGCCTGCCCGGGTGAGAATAGAGGTGGCCAATATAATAATAACACTCTTTCAACTTAAATTTGAGATTTTTACAACAGGCACAGGAATAGGATTAGATCTAGATCTAGATCTAGATCTCTAGATCTAGATCTAGATCTAGATCTCTAGATCTAGATCTAGGAGGCATGACATGACGACGGCGACGCAGAGCCATCCCACACAGGACAGGCCTATCACTCAAAGTGTCATCATCATGTCAAGGGGAATAACAGGAACTTCAACAAATAAATGTTGCTGGGTCGATGGTTATTTATTATTATTTTTTTTCTAATTAAAAAATCGGACATGATGAAAACTACCCCCTGTTTGGGCATTGATAGCTGAGTCCACTCTATCTACGCACACTTCCATTTCCCTGCGTTCAGGAAGACTTTACTTTCGTTTTTCCCTCTACCAGCTGTTGACTTGTTGTCGCTTCCGCTTTCCACACACGGTCAGGTATTCATAATCATTGGTCAGGTCTATAGGCCTACTATTTTTGTCACAATCAATGACGTTATCAGAGGATTTCCCGAACACAAAAAAAGAATGTTCCACTTTTTGGTGTTCAGGTTACAAAAGAGGTGTATTTTCCTCGCGTTTTTATTATCTTTTTACACAAGAAATCTGTATTGCATAAACTCATGCCTTACAAAAGGAGGGTCGCTTTCATCAACAGAGACGCGAGCTGAGCTAGGCGTAGCCTACTGATTGAGGATCGCGAGCCACTTCAGCGATTGATTGTACTCTCGTCCTTTGATGTAAAAAGATCCAGTATGGCGTTACTTTTGAGAAGCTTTGTTCGTGCTCCTACAACCTTTGTAAGTCCCACCGGTTATGACACGACAATTTCAATTGCAGCAGCTCAGCAGTGCCAACACTGACGACGAGGACGTGAGGAGTTCCACGCAGCGCGTTGGAGGTCAATTCTACCCACCGATGTTATAATATGAAATGAAAGAGTGTTAAAATGATAAAATATAAATTCTAGATCTAGATCTAGTAAAATAGATTTCTTTTTCCGCAACGTGAATGGACTGAAGCCTCACGTCCCAGCTTTGTACTGTCTCAGACCATGATTTAAGTTTCTTCTTCTTTCCCGTTCCAAATTTTATAGAGGAACTTTTCCACTTGTTCTGATTTTGGCGCTTTTTCGGTAGATCACACTCCGCAATTGTTATTCGCGGGTTTTGGCCCCAAGAGTAGGGGGTTTCGCCCCCCTGACCTAATAAAAATGAAGTGACTATTTTCCCGAACGTTCGGAGAAATAGTGCCGATCTTTATTTCTGTGAACGGTTTCCGGCTTTTGGCCCCAAGAGTAGGGGGTTTGAATCCCCTGACCTAATAAAAACGAAGTGACTATTTCTCCGAACGTTTGGAGAAATAGTGCCAATCTTTATTTCTCCGAACGGTTTCCGGCTTCAGGTCTCGTGATTTTTTGCCTATTTATTGCGAGAGTTCGGCGCCAACTTTCAATCATTCTGCCTCTGCCATTCTGCGAGGTCTGGGAAAGAGCACATTTTTGAGTCTAGATCTAGATCTATATCTATTTCAATTTTCAAGAGCTGGTCTAGAGATTTTTAGACGAGTGTAAAAACGTGAAAAAGAAAGGTTTCACAAACAGAATGAAATCAAAATTAGAACAACCCATAAACAACCCCAAAAATTTACAAATAAGGGCGTGTGTCAACCTGTCCGAAGAAGAATGGCTATTTTAACCCTAAATGTCCGTAATTTAAAAAAAAAGTACATGATATTACATCATGTAAGTTATGGAATCACACACAAGGGGCCTGCCAGTGTCAGTACTGTATGTAATCGGTTTTGGTGGAACGCTCTAACATAGCACATTTAAATCTATATACATATATATACATATAGAATCTAATGAAGGTAGGAACATCCAAATAAATGACAAAACACTATACAGATACTACATCCCCCCCCCCCCTTTCCCCAACAAAAAACAGGTAGAAAAACAACACATCAGAACAATAACAAGAAAAAAAAATTACACACCAACAAAATAAAACATCTCAAAGAGGGAAAAATAAAAGAGGAACAGCAATACAAATCGTATACATAACTGTAACGTATTCAACAAATCATCGTGGTGACAACAAGTGAGAAAGAGACGAAGTGAAGCTAAGTGAACTTTCTTTCAAAAGTAAAGAGGTTCAGTTTCTTTTTTTTCTTCTTTTTAAAAAAAATTTTTAATTTGACTTTTATTCCCCGATTCGGAGACCAAAAAATCTAGCCACGATTGATTGGTCGCGGCCACGACAAACGCAGAGATGCTAGTTCTATGTGTCGTTATCAATAACTCTCCGTAGATCTAGATCTAGATCTAGACAGCACACGAGCGAACACAACACATTAAGTTTAAGAGCAGCACCCTTCATAGGCAACGCGTCGCAACTGTAGCGAAAAACTGTTTGGAACTGTAGCATTTCTTTATATAAATATTTACTGCAGACATTTTTTGGACTGATTGAACCATACTGAATACGAACAATCTTTGGAAGGCCTATAATATATTTATAGATCTATATATCCGAAATTTGCGGGAAAGGATGTGATTTCAGAGTGTTCGGAGAAATCTAAGTGCCCAGCTTTATTTTCCCGAAAGTTCGGAGAAATAGTGCCCAGCTTTATTTTCCCGAATGTTCGGAGAAATAGTGCCCAGCTTTATTTTCCCGAATGTTCGGAGAAATAGTGCCGGCCTAATAAAAATAAGGTGGGGGGTTTCAGATTTTGCCATAATTTGATGTTTTGTAGTTGTTAGGTTTGATATTTATTATATCTTAGCTCGCCGCGCTTCAAACATATAATATCTAGATTTAGAATCTAGAATAGATGTAGATCTAGGCTCAAATAAGGGGGGTGGGAACTACCGAATAAGCTCCCCGATTTAACCCACTCTCTTCCTATCCTATCCATGGTTGGTCCCCCCACCCCCCACATTTTCCATGCAGTCTGTAAGTTCTACCCCGAACTGTTTGGCAGAATCAGAAGTCTATCAGATATATTGTTATTTTCTCTAGGAGACGAATTGTTTGAAATCACTGAGTTTCTTGTGGACTAGAGACTAGAGGTAGGCCTACAGTGTTCGCCTCTCATTCAAAAGGTCACAGTAAATTTTCTCCTTTCACCTCCTCAGCCTCCTTGTGACTTCCAATCTCCACTAGGCTCCTTCCATTACTCATTCTACTGCTACTCCTAACTTCTAACTTGCCAGTCTTTCCGCCATACCCGTAATCCTAGAGGTAGGTAAGATGGAACACCCCTTTTCAGATAAAGGTGAAAAACCTCAGAAGGCCGATGATTTTTTACACCCAACCAAATGTATGAGAACAAAAGAAATTGCATAATATTTTAGAAACATTCTTGATTAAGTTACTGTAAGCAACGACATGTGAAAACAAAAGAAATGTGTAAGACACTTCTAGATCTATTAGGTACCAGAAACTAAATTTTCTAAGTAGCTGTATGCCGAATTTATCTGTTCCTAAAAGGCCTCTATATCCACTGAGCATTTTGACCGTACCATTCTTTAACCTCTCAGTCAATTTTTATGAAAATGGTAGTTGTTTAAAATTTGATCAAATTTGTTAAAGTCAGTCACTGGCTGCAACCCCATGTTTGACAGAATAAAAGAGTACCAAGTGCACTAAACATCTCCACATTAACAGAGTACAATCGCTATAACAAATATATCCAGAGCCTAATTCAAGACTGTGAGATCATTACAAATCAGTATTTTATCGCCTCAAACACAATGATCTGTTGTTATTTCGACGAAAACACCGAGCGTTGACCCGGCCGGCGTCGTACCGGACCCCGCGGCGAGCGAGTCGGCTCTATACTGTAGTGCACCCCACATGGGGGTCACATGCTTTCCCAGTCTCGCTGAAGAACTGATGCAAAATAATTCCAAGCTGATTACTTTATTCTAATAGAAAATGAACTGATCTTTCAATTAATACATTTTTTGAGCCGGTATTTTACATATTTTGTGTTTAAAAATTATCTTTGAAAATTTTGACGGTATTTTTAAAGGCTTTCTATTTAAACACCAAAGGCCAAGAATATACCACGGAAAAGCCCGTTTAAAGCTTTACAGTTCTTTGGCAATGAAAAGACAGTATTTAATTATATCCCTCGTTCCGCGAAGCATTCGAAAGCACGCGTGTCAATTTTTTAACCTGCCGACCACGCATTCCGACCGCGAGGGGCTTCGCTTTCCACAGCGATTCTCCTGCTCCTAATAATCGGACATATAAACAACTTACACCATTGTAACGAGGAAAAGCTGAACTTTTACAAGGTGTACGGCATTTGGTGTTTAAGAGCGAAAGAGGAAAGAAACAGCGATCAGAATTAACCCGATTTCACCTATACCAAGCGATCGGAAGGCCGCGAGTGTCCGCGAGGCCATGTTTACGCTACCTATTTCTATAGTCGATATTTTCCACCCTTCTAAGGGGTAATGCCTGTGGTTAACTGGATGGGAATTGAATGTTTGTTCTAATACTCTGCAGTGCCCGTTGGCAAGATCAGCTCACTTTGTTTGTCGAGGCTAGCCAGATTTTCCTCAGACTCAATGGTGGGAGAAAAGCTACCATCATGGCACAAACTGAAGGAAACCGATGATGACCTTCAAGAAATAAACGCATTTGTTTTCAAGGCCAGTGGTTTATGCTGAACCGAACTGAACCAAACCGATCCTCCAGTGGGCAATGCCTATAAGACCACCGAGCGCAACAGTCGCGTGTGTTGTAAAAAGAGTTCAACTGAAATGGAACTTGGCTAACTGTACTAGAGTTAAAAATTTTTTCCCTCTTTCCTGTGGACAAAATTCTTAATACAGTATAATCCACTTATATCGACATCCGGTTTATTGACATTTTGACATTATATCGACATATTTTCCAATTATGAAATTTTTCCTTCAATATCTTCACTTAACAATTTCTCTTAACGACTTTTTTTCGGCCCACTCTGCTTAATCGACATGCTTTCTACACTTTCTAGGTACCTGGCGAAGTCCACGAACATAAATGGGGGGAAAAGCCATGCTAACGGTCAACGCATTAGTTCTTCATTAAGTCCGCATACCCGCCAAGTAGCCTATATCGACACACCAGGCTTTAGTAGGTCATATGTAGAACTTATGCAATGTAGTCTCCAACACAGTACAGTGCTTCACAGACGTCAACGTCTTGCACGCTAGGCATCACCTTCCTACCCCTACTCTCGATTGCTCACTCCCCTTCCCCATCCCATTCTCAGTCTGTCGCTGGCAAGTGCCACTGTCAGTAAGTCAGTGCCTCGCCTTTCCATTTTCCCCAGCAAGTGGCCATATAAACAGGCCTTACAAGGATGCTACAACAAAGTTTGCACTGGTGTGTAATGTGTGCCTCGCGTTGATCGGTGTTTGCTAAAGGCTTGCCAAAAAAAATAAATTAAATACCGTAACAAATGTCGAAAAGGAAAACTGAAGAACAGAAAATCCCCCCAAACCCCTCTATCACCGGAAAAAAAAGAATCAAGGGAAGCAACCAGCTTTAATTTAAGAAATAGTGTGTTGTCTTTTTGCCGCTGACCTCCCCTTGTAGTTTTTTCTTCTTTGGCTTTATATTTTCATTTATCGACTTTTTTATATATCGACTTCAAATCCACTTCCCAAAGCATGTCGATATAAGTGGATTATACTATATAATAATAGTTTGTTGCAGTAATGGAAGTTAAGTACAACCAGGCATGTTTCTGACTGTAAGTTTGAAATTGTTGAAGTTTATAATGTTTTTTGAAAGCTCTTGTTCTTGTTTCGCAGTCTTCCTGCACAGGATGTCTTCAGACCTTTAAAAGCCACAGCCTTACATCAGTCCGCAACTTCCATCAGTTCAAGACGTACACATCAAAGCAGCTTAATTTGGTAAGAGTGGTTGTTTTGAGCACTGTCATTTGAGTGCACTAGTAGTTTATGGTGAGCCAACTCAACAGTTTTTTTTGGTGCTTTGAACAGATTAATGCTTTGCTTCCCATCAGTGGAGCGCTGAAGACACCTTGCACAACACCATATTGCAAAAATAGTTTTTGTAAGTTAGTTTGTTTCTTGGGATATACAAGCTCTTACAAAGTGCCTCATAAACCGGTACTACTTGTAAAAAGGAAACCCTAAGAAAATATAACATCACAACTGAAAGAGCTGCGGAGCTGGCCTACCATAGAAAACTGCATCTCCCCTCGACACTTAACGGCAACAGAGGATGAAAAAGTAAAAGTAAAGTAAGTACTTGTAAAAATGAGACTGAGGGGAAATTACTGGAGGTGCAGGTGTCTTGCACAGAAAAACAGTAGGAGTAGACATCCTCAGAGTGTCTACTATATAATCTTTATCATGTTTATTAACATTTTGAATTTTGTAGTAGGGATGAGTCTTTTCAGATGCTGACATTTTGTCAAACTAAAATTGGCATCTGGTATGACCAGTCGTGAAATTGCTTCTGTTCATGCTGATCCTGTAGGATGGGTAGATTAGCAGTAGTTGCAGTTTTTGTTTGCCAATCTGGATTTGAGATTTTAAAGAAATTCATGTAAATTGGTTTTCCTTCTAATGAGTTTGTTTTGGAAGTTGTATAAGCATAATATTTTTAATATACTTTTTCCTACCCATTCAGAGGCTCAGTTTTGAAAAAAAAAACGTTCTGTTTTTATTTCCACAGGCGTTAAGACCAGCTCAGGTGTCGCTTCTCAGAAAAAGCACAAATGTTGCTGCTGCTCAGCTTTCTGCGAGATCTCAGAAAATTGTGGGCTCATGGCTAGTGGGATGTGCTGGGATGTGCTTTGGTGCAGTTATTCTTGGTGGAGTGACAAGGTTGGTTGTCTTCTATGTTTCTTAGTTATACTTGAATGCTGTAGCATGGTTTGCTGCACACTTCACAGACATGTGAAGTGATTGAGGTTGGAAACTGATTGGGTCACAAATTTGCCACATCCATTCTTGAACCTGAAGAGTTTCTTGTTTCATTTTGTGCTTTTGATAGGGAGAGCAAGTGTTATTCCAAGATACGCTAAACTCTTTTTTTTTTCTTTTTAAGCAATAGGGGCCTGTAGAATTTAGAAGTAAGTGTCTTTTTCTCTAAAAAATGGAATCAGAGATTATCTTTATCTGTCTTGTGTGTGATCCCAAATTTGAAGAAACTAAAAGTGAAATAGACTGTCATCTCAACTATGTTCCGTGTATTGTTGACCATTAATTTTTTGTTTTGTTTTTCCTCTTATTGTGTGTTTTTAAAGAGTTTTGGCTTATTTAGTTGCCCTGTGGCATTTTCAAAGAATGTTTATCCTTCACCAGATTAACAGAGTCAGGTTTGTCTATGGTTGATTGGAAACTCATCAAGGATATGAAACCCCCACAGTCACAAGCGGAATGGGAGGAAGAGTTTGAGACATACAAACAATATCCTGAATACAAATAGTAAGTGGCATGAGTTGGTGTGGATGATAACTATAACATATCTCACAATCTTAAACTCATGGAAAAAAGAAGCAAGAGTGTTAATCTCTTCTACAGTGTGCTTAGTGTAAAAGGCTAAGAAGGTTTTTTCATTTCATTAGTAAATGCAAACCTTTGAAATCAGTGGGGGGGGGGGGTATCTATATTTGTAATTATAGCGTTGCATATTAAATTTAGGATTAAAAAAACCCTAACAACTAATGTTAAAATTGACACTAGAAATGATTGATTATAGTGGTATAAATTAAAGTAAGTGTTATTGTAAAAGTGTTGTGTACATAATTTTGTTATTAAGGATTTGTTAAAATGGAAGACGAAAGAAGTTTTCAGTGTAATCTACCATAGAGCCTTTCTTATTGTGTGGGTTCTTTTTAAATTGTAGTTGGCAAAACTTTTTCTTTCTCTGTTCTGTGTTATGTTATCTTGTCAAAACATATTTTAAAAATGCAAATATAAATGAAAAGAATGCACTTACATAGCTAAATTTTGTGCCGCTCTCTTTCTTTTTCAAATGGCTTAGCGATGCTCTTACATGATTTATTTTACGTGATTTATTAATCTTGTTCTATACTTTGCAATGACAGCATAATTTTCCAACCATTCATACATCTAACTTGCCTTCCTGATGTTAGTGAACATTTGACATCTTAGATTGCAAATGGTGTAGTCAAGTTTCCCAATTTGAATGTCTTGACTTCTCACTGACTTTTTCTCTGTTTTATCAATAGCATGGCAAGCCACAAAGAGATGACATTGTCTGACTTCAAGTTCATCTTTTACATGGAGTGGGGTCATAGAATGTGGGGAAGAGCAACAGGGATGGTGTTCCTTTTACCAGCTCTTTACTTTTTGAGGAAAGGCTGGGTTTCCAAAGCTTTAAAGCCCAGACTGGCAGTATATGCAGGATTGCTTGGCTTTCAGGTATGGTGGTAAAGGTTGTATTGTTTTATATTGATGTTACGTTTCTCAATCTTTTGAAAAGAACCTTTGTTTACATTTTACAAGTTTAAGCATTGAAGTAAGACTATGATATTTGTGAGTAACTCGATACTACCATTTTATGAGTACAGATATTTCAAAGGAAAAATTGATGTCACTACTGACTTAAAGTAAACTACATCAAATATTTTATTTCTTATTGACTTCCATTTCCAAAGGATTGTGATACAGTGTAGTCTTCATGACCAGAGCCTCTACATGCAGATGCAATGAGGGCAAGCTGTGTAACTCTTATTTTCACTAAATATGCTTGGAGAACTCCTGTTTCCTTTCCCCTCATTCTTCTTGGCTCATCCCTCCCTCCACCTCCACCCCCCAAAATTGAATTAAGGGCATTAAAAAACAACAACCAATATCTCTGCAAAAAGCTAGTTTTTATGTTTAAAGAAGAACAAAAGTTACTACAAATGATGCAATGCTTGGCCTGTGACATGAAATGAACTTCAGTATTGTTATAGGTGATAACTGTAATCTGGTAATACCAGGACCACCTGTTTTCTGTTTTTATCCCTGACTGGTTTCAATTGGTAAATCTCAGTTTTCTTGTAATGTTTGTGCAAAGTTCAGCAGTTTCATATACCCTGTTTCAGGGTTTCCTGGGCTGGTACATGGTGAAAAGCGGCCTTCAGGACAAACCTGACCCCTCTGATGTCCCACGGGTTAGCCAGTACCGGCTGGCTGCTCACCTGGGCTCTGCATTCCTTCTGTACACCTTGTTTCTGTGGCAAGGCCTTACTCATCTACTAACACCTGTCAAGGTACTTGTCATACAGTGTTGCAAAGATGTAGACTTTGTTTCTTGAGTTATATATTTAGTTCTGTTGAATTTGGAGCTGCATACCCTTACATGAGGTGTGAACACTCTAGAACTTTTGAGGATCTCTTACTTGAGTACTTCACAATTACATGGCACGATAGTTGAAAAGCATTTTTCCAACATTTGCAGTCCCCATAACATATACAGATAATACTTGGTAAAGGGGGAAAGGGAGCAAAGAAAAAATATTACCATCAGATGAGAACTTCCATTCTCCTCTTTCATTTGCATTCACTCCAGTTTCATAATTGAAATAGACCTAGTTGATGGAGAATGAAGAGAATGGAAGTTCTCATCTGATGGTAATATTTTTTCTTTGTTCCTTTCCCCCCATAACCAAGTATTTTCTGCAATATGTTATGGGGACTGTAAATGTTGGAGAAATGCTTTTCGACTATCGTGCCATGTAATTGTGAAGTACTCAAGTAAGGTACCTCAGACCAGTTATCCATGGTATTTGCTGTACAAAGAACAGCTTACAAAGTTTTTAAAATAAATTCAACACTCTGTGGCTATGAAAGTGTCTGATTGTTTAGAAAGAGGCTTAGAAATAATTATTTTTAGAAAAGGAAGTTGAAAAAATGGTAGTTTATATAAAAAGCTAACTGCATTTGTTTTCCCATTCCTTTTATTGTTTCCCAAATGGACCTCTCACTTCTCAGTTCAGCAAATGTTGTTCAGAGATTTTTTAAAAGTCTTGTATCTGTTTCAATTTTTTAAAATATGGCTCAAAGTGTTCTCTGAATTTGTCTATTACATGTTCAGATCTGATTTAAACCTTTATATATGTAAAGTTGTCCCAAAAATTCTCTTTTTCAGCTACAGGAAGTGAAGAGTATTGCAAGATTGCGAGGCATGGCTCATGGTGTTATGACAGCTGTGTTCATCACTGCCCTGTCAGGTCTGAAAATTTATTCTATTGACAATAATGTGCTTCAAAATGTAGCCTATACATTTAGGTCTATTATTTTTCCTCCAAAGTTGTTTCTTATAGGTTTAATTTGAGATTATTGAAATTTAGCAATGGTTTTGATGTTTGGTCAGAAAAGGGCTTTAACTGTAAATCTTAGCAGTTAGATTGACCTCATGAGTGGTCGATGATTCAAAGTATATACATTCTAGTTTTTGCTCTTGAAGATTTTAATCAGTTGGCAAGAATTATCTGTACTTTTTTTTAGAACTTGTAAAATCTTTTTTTAACGATTATACACAGGGGCGTTCGTGGCAGGTTTAGATGCTGGACTGACATACAACTCATATCCGAAAATGGCTGACAGATGGATCCCAGATGATTTGTGGGCATTTGCTCCAAAGTGGAAAAATATTTTTGAGAATCCCACAACGGTTCAGTTCAACCACAGGCACTTGGTAAGCATAAGATTTATTTCAATTTGCGCCTGCGTTGAAATATGAGTTACAAGTGAATAAAGTTAATCACTCATATTGGAACATCTTTAAAACTATATTGCGGATACAGTACAGTCAAACATCATTCTACTTTCCACCTATAACAGGGTTTTAAGGTCTGTCCAAAATTGGTGGAACGCAAGAATTTTTTTGGTCATGTACGAATATTGCCATGTACACATTTCAGGCTATATCGAGGGTGGTTAACAAAGTTGGATAATTTAGGTCAAAATTTTATATAAATGATGCCTGGTAGGCCATGTTTTGCAGTTACAGGTCTTTGGCATTGATGTTTTATCAACCTCTGCTTGGATCAGCTATTTTTTTCCCTTGATTGAGAAGTCTTTCTGCTTCCTGTACTCCGTCCACTCTCTGCTAAGACTTTGCAAAACACTTACAAGTTGTTGTGTAGTGTATTAATCTGTGATGACGAGGAAGTGTGTTGACACATGTGGTTATGATAAGGGATACAATGCCTTCACGTGGAGCAGATGGCCCATAAGCAACTGAAGTGTGGAGACTGGTAGCTCTACTGCTGAACACTTTTGTGACATATGCAATAAACTCTTTGTTAGCCTATATTTTTGCAATCGGCTTATAGAGAGGTCGTTGGCCTGCACACCCTGCTGTACTCTCTCTCTCTCTCTCTCTCTCTCTCTCTCTCTCTCTCACTCTCTCTGTCTCTGTCTCTTTCTCTCTCCCATCTCCCTCCCTCCTTCCCTCTACAGCTATTTCAATAAAAAAAGAAAATTTGTGGTTTTGTTTATTTAGATCTACCTTGGCTGATGCCACTTTTTTTTGCTATGTATGAATTGTTCATGTTACCGGTATGTGAGTGTTTTGAGTGGAAAGAATATACATGTAAAAAACGAAAATTCGAGACCTCAAAATCTGTTTGCTATGTGAGTTTTTTGCTACACGCATGCTATACTGTAACATCGACTGCCCAATGTTAAGGGAAATGTTTCTGCCATAATTTGATGCTCTTCCGGATTAGAGGCTATTTGTCAAATGCATGCTGCTTGAACAGGGCTTACCTGAAGTTTTTTTTTACTCTATACATGTAGGCTACCTGTAATGTTGTTTTGCAAGATGCTTGTGATTATGGATGTATTTGTTGATTATGTCTTGTGTTTGATTTTATGTTGCCCGGAATTGGTCAAATAAAGAAATAATAGGTGTAAAACAAAAGTTGATAAAGAAAACTTGGGTAAAACATGTATGTATTCCAAACTTAAAAGAATTATAAGTAAAGTGGAGTAATATGAAATTGTCCTGTCGCAATTTCGTATTTCTTGAGTGATATAATGAATGAACTCTAAATGAATCAGCATCATAAGGGGGGAGGGGGGGAGGGGTATAGAAATATGTGAAGGAAAGCAAGGTAAGAAGTGACTCATTCAATTGCTTTTTTAAGCTATTCAAATTTCACATGGCTTTACTGTTTCTTTCCATGTATGTGTAGGCTGAGTCAACAGTTGCCCTGATCGGAGGGTTCTGGTTCCTGGCCCGGAAGGCACCTCTACACCCCCGAGCTAGACTAGCTGTGAATCTGTTGCTGGGCATGGCATTTGGACAGGTCTGTTTCACTTAATATGTGATTTAAAGTTGTTTTGAGGTTACATCTTTCTGGAAAAGTAGATTACAACAGACATAGTGTACAGAAATATACACTGGATGTGGATATTTCTATTTCAGACACATGCTCAACTTTCAAAGTGACCTTACTTGTTTACTAGACAGTTAAACTTGATTGAGGAAAAAAAAAAGATGTGTGTCTCATTTGCACTCTCTTTTGTTTGAGTGTCTAGGCTTCTTCTTCAGCTTATATCCCTGTGAGAGTTCAGGCAGGGAGTTACTGACTGACTGTAAGTTGTAAAATTTTAATCTCACGGTGCAGTTTATTTAATGTTCATGGCTGTTTCGTCTAATCAGAGTATAATTTGAAATGTATACTGACTAGGTTAGCTTCAGTGTTTGAATAGGAATTAATTTTTAATTTTGCCCTGACGCTAGCTGGAAAGGCCCATTCTTTTTTCATTTTAGAACTGCCAAGGGATCTTTTAGGTGTGAAACTTCCACATGAAACTTTCAAAATTTTTCTTCTGTATTTGACAAGACTAGATGCTGGCTCCTTTCTATCCTGTAATGTGGGGGTGTAAAAAACATAAGAAAAAAACATATGACGTTGGCAGGGATCATATTCCAGACTTCTGGGTTGAGAGGTGAATGCCATACTGTACTGTTGAGCTACTGAACCCCTTAATATCAAGGGTATGTTATATTTTTACTTGGATGCCTCAGTACAATTGAATGACACATTTGGGCTCTCCTGTTAGATGTACACCACCAGGAACAGATAGATGTGATAGTTGTACTGTTTGAGATCTTTGTAGCAACCAGTGTTATTGTGATATTGAAAAAACTTTATTTTCAGTTTCTAAATTTATGTAACAAATTTTTTGTACCCTCTTCGTCAGGCTGCTCTGGGTATCACAACACTGCTGACGTATGTTCCGACCCCAGTTGCAGCTACTCACCAGTCAGGCTCCCTGGTTTTGCTCAGTCTGGCTGTTTGGGTAGCGCATGAGCTGCGGAGACTCCCAAAGTAACAACGCTAGGTTGAAACTTGCAAGACAGTGGAATGTTCCAGGAATGTTTGCTCCTTTTGGTTGTGTGCTGTGTGTTTTTGAGTATGAATGATTTTTCATGTTGACTTAATGTGTGATCAAAAGAAGACATTTTGACATGGGGTGTAAGGATACCTATTGGACAAAGTCAATACATGATTTTTACTTATTAAAAGCTGTTATTACTTTAAAAACAGGTAAGATTTTTCATGTTGTTTTGTTTGTCAAAGTTGATGACTGAACCAATCTTTGTACAGAACCAACTTGCTGCATAAATAAATGGGAAGTTTGTCCATTTTTATTTGTATTTACATTTTTATGTGCATGTAGTTGAAACCAAGATTTATTTTTGACTGAGGAAATGTAATGTAGATTATTGGATTATTCTTGTTAATGTTATGGCTTGTGCAGTTGAGAAGGAGTAGCTGTTACTAACAGTTTTCAGTTAGGATGACAGAACTTTTTCTCGAAGAGTGAGAAGCTAGTGGGCAAAGTATTGAAAAATAGATAACAAATAAATAATGACTTTTTTTAAAGAAAAGTTTTTCAATGTTACAACTCAGGAGGGAGAAAGAGTGTATTATTCTCAAACTGGCTGGAGCCAAATCAGGAACCTTGCTGATGATTTTTTTAAAAACCCTGTCCAAGTAGTTTTCATAGAATCATAGAAAGATCCCTGTTTTCTTTCCAATCTTTTAACTCATTCGCTATGTATTATTTTCGGCTTGTGGACGAATTTTTTTCGGGAAGGCAAAATGAGATGATGACTAGTGTGCAGTTCAAAGGTCTTTGGGGCCACAAATTCAAATAAATATTAACATATTATTATTATTATTATGCACCGAAATTTTCAGTATGATTTGTAAAATACATCTGTAATGTTTATTTGTGCATTTTTCCACTTTGGTTCCTGTAAGAGGCGATTATGCAACACAATTTTGCTTGGATGCGGATAAAATTTGATCATCTTCGGTGAAACTCAAAAAATATGTTTGCACCTAGTCAAATGATACATCAAAATAACCGTAAATGAATATAGAACTGGAAAATATTGAACAATTTGCAGTTATTTATTTATATTCCATAAAATTTGCACCTTTGGATCATGACATCTGATATTGAAAAAAAAACTACAAAAATTGTATAATCTTGAAAAATGGACAAGATGCATTCATAAACAGAAAAAAACACTCGTATTGTATATGGAATTATTCAGAATTGCATTTGGAATAAACCTACACATGTCTTGAGTGGTACTTGTTATGTAATTTTACCAAAAATAGTGATTTTTGGGAGAAAAAAATAATTTGACAATTTAGATCTAGTCTAGATCTAGCACTGAAAAATATTGATTTCTCAATAACAGAGCAATGACAATTTGAGCCCCAATAGTATCCATATTCTAAAGAAGAGTCCTTCTACCCTTCTCCCTCCGAGACCTAACTTCGACAACACACTCTACGGAACATTACAGCAACTGCAGCAAACCTGCACTTATCACTACATGGCATTGGACAGAAGGGCGAGAGCCCAGATGTTGCTGGATCGATAACAACAACAACTAAAGAAGAGTCCTGCGTTTCTTCAGTTTGCAAAATAATGATATATTTTGTTGTGTAAAAGTAGTAAGACTGGGGTCTGGGCTAGATCTATAATTTGAGCATAGCGATAGAGTCGCATAAACTTCGAAATTATATTTCAGAACTGAATCAAAACTTCCGATTTTCAGTAGAAACGCTTGACCCGGAAGTCAACTTTATATTATGACCTTTATTTTAACATGGATATGTGGATTGGAATAGAATCTACGCTAAAATTTAAGATCGGTTCTTGAGCCAGCGGGGGCGGCTTAGCGTACTGACAGCACTTAAGCCGCGCACCCCCCCACGGCTCGGCGTAGCGAATGAGTTAAAAAGTGTGTTTTTGGGGTGGTCGTAGGTCATTTCATAATATGTTGAACAAAACCCTCTCTCGGCTCTATACAATCCCGGTAGTGGAATATATTTTTCATTAAAATTTTTCAAGCGATTATGAAACAAGAGTTTGACTTGGCTGTAAACAACATATTTTTATATTACATTTTGTGAATGTTACTGACTTGTTTGTTACTACGGGATAGTATGCCTTACTTTGGCTTTTGACTGCGAGGATAAAATTGAAGCACAGTACTAAGTTTAAGCTACACCTATGAATGTTTTTATCTTCCTTTCTACATATTATCTAAAAATTTGCTTTGAGGTTTCAATTTACTCTTGAATCTTTTGTAGTTTTTAAAATATAAATTGTGATAACTTTCTGCGTGTTTTCTTCAGCTTCTGACTTTTGTTGGTTTTTGATGAATGTTGAATAATGGAGAATAAATAAAAACATACATGAGAGAGAAAAGTCTCATGTTGGGATTATTTATTTCTTGTGGGTTCTGTGTTTATTTTTCTTAGTTTGTGAGGGACATCAGAATTTAGGGGTTTATATGAAGATGGAAGTAGTCCTTTGTGAGTCATAAGATTATCACTGGTGAAGTTGAGAAGAGCATTCCTTTGAAATTGAGGAATGATATAGGAATGATGGGAACATTTTTTTACGCCAGAATTACAAAGTTCTATCTGCTCAGTACCTAGTTTTGAGAAATTTGAAGTAAAAAATTAGAGTTTCACATCATGTCAAGCTTTTTTTAATGCAGTTCTTTGAATACCTTGATACGAATCCGAATAATCTTACCATTTTGATAGAGTAGATAGAACATTTGGTTTAAGGAGCTCATGGTGAAATATTCATTCTTGTGCAGGTTTATGTTGGTGGGATTGTGTGTTTTATTATTATTATTATTATTTTCCTTGTTTGTATTGCTTTAATCACCTACTGGTGAAATGTTGCCCTCATTATAGTGACTTGAAGTAAGCTACAACACTACTACTGAACAACTGTTTTATTCTTGTGTACAAGGTTGTTTTTGTTTTTTTTAATCTAGTACTTTTACCACACTGGGTTACCCAAGGACTATTCTGTCTAGAAGAAGCAATGCTGAAGAAATTGTAAAATAAAGCCCCTGTAAACAGGGCAAGGTTATTAAAGAGGCTGGATCTCCGAGTTTAACTTCCATCTCTGAAAGGCATTTGAGAAATCTCCGAGCCAAGTGAGAAATTCGTGTAAAGTGCCTTTCCCAAGAACACAACATCGGGCAGAGCTGAGGCTCGAACCCCCCAACTCGCAATATCACGATTGTGAGTCCGGAAGCCTAACCACTAGGCTACTGACGCCACGAAGAAATAGTAATGATCTTAATTAGTGTCATTGCAATGGCTATTGGTAGTGAATAAAGCTGTGTATTGGATCTTCATGTTGTATGTGTCAGTCAAGAAGAAACGCATCTGGAAAGGTGGAGAAGGACAGAAAAATAAAATAAATTTGACAGAAAAAGGATTTGCTTTTGATATTGAATCGGCGGCTCTTATCCTGTTCAATGTATCAAATGAAAGGTTAACCATAATTATAAGCTCAAAGGGTTGGTTATGTTATAGGTTTTAAAAGATGTTTTGTGGGGGCGCACGCAGGCGATGTTTTGGTACAGGGATAGGGGTTAGCCTCTTGAGAACGTACAGTTATCTTCAGTGTTTATCTCGTCTCACTCTATGCCATGCTGGAGCTCAACCAAGAGCACCACATCGTTCTTGCATTATAGGTAAGCGCAGTTTTTCATTATATTTTACACAGGAAAATAAAAGGAGGAATAAAGAGCTTTTATCTGTTACTTGTGGGATCAACACAAGGTTAGGCCTGTCCGTCCAAACTCGGATTGATAACTCAATGTCACATGTGAGAACAGCATATGTATATTCCCCTTTTAGAAAAAAAAGTTCACCATTTCACTAGCATCTGCGTTTGTTGCCATTTTTTTTTGTCTAAAAGTAAAAGTTGCCATAAAAAAGGCAAAAGTTGCCATAAATTTTCAAGCGTTCAACTAGCTGTGACGACGTAATACATGTATATTGATAGAGGTAAATTAATCTAGATCTAAAGCACCAGAATTCCCAGTGCTCTGTTTTAAGCATCCAGAATATTATTTGTAGCCACATAGAGTGTAAAAACGCGAAAAATAAGTTTCACAACAGAATAAAAATCAAAATTAGAACAGCACACAAACAACCGCAAAAAGTAACAAATAAGGGCGTGTGTTGTCCACCTATCCAAAGATTGGCCGTTTTAACGCTAAACGGTTTTATTCAAGACAAAGTACAGGATATTGCATGTAAATTATGGAATCACCCGCAAGGGCCCTGCCAGTGTCAATATTCGGTTTTGGTGGAGACACGCTCTAACATAACATATTAAAAAAATGTAAGAACGTCAAATTAAATGGCATCACGCTATATAAACACACACACACACACACACACACACACACACACACACACACACACACACAAATAAATCAGAAAGATAACCCCCCAAAAATTAACACACCAATAAAGAGGGGAAAATGAAAGACAAACAGCAATATAATAAATAGTATGTAATGTACTTATTATTATTCTTCGCGTGAAAATAACTATACATGTACAACTTAAAATTATCAAAATACACGTCTATGTTATGAAGTAGCATGTTCTTTTTAAAAAAAATGCAAAAATCGCGGCCGCAACAAACGCAGATGCTAGGTTTCAGGTACGTGATACTTTAGCTATCTCCCTGTCAAGTGTATTTTTTTCCTTGTGTAAATCTGGTCGCAGAAATTCAGAGATAGCATATTGCATCTTTATAATTAATACTTTTCCAATTTTTCTTAAGAAGAAGGGGCAGCAAGGAAAGGTTCCCTCCCTCTCCTACCACCGGAGTTGTTGGATGTTTTCCGTACCTCATGCTGATTTGCCAAAGGGACATAATTAGACAGCTTATTCCATAAGTGAATTTTATACACTTCTCCCCTCCCCTTGTTACATTTTTCCCTCGTTGCCCTGTACTTTTCTATCTTGGATTAGTTGTAAAACTAAGTTTTCACGCACTTCCTCGAACCTTCCAAAGTAAATCTCTATACCCTCCAGTATGAATTTTAAGCTGACATGCAACATTTCTCTTCCACAAGTTAAATTTAATAAGAATATTGAAGGCTCACCGAGAAAAAGAACACTTCTCTTCCATTCCTTGTTAGCTTACTCTTACTCTTAGCACCGGTGTCTGTAGTGTAATGGTGAGGCTCTTCGTCTTACAAATAAAATACTTTACTTTGGTTCCCACACTAATTAATTATCTTCATTCTCATACTCGGCTACTGTATCGTGTGTAGCTCAGATAGACAGCTTAGATGTCTCAGATAGACAGAGTCTAGGCAGCCCACTTCCTAAATGCTTCAAATGGTTTCAATGGGGCTGTTGGATGCTTTGAATGTTCAGTTATACCAGAGAGGGTTTACAGTAGTATTACTGTAAACTCTCTGGTTATACTATCTCGGCAACGAAGTAAAGTGCCAGGGGAGATAATCAGGCAATATAAAAAGTAGTGGGTGAATA